GTTTGGCAAGATTAACAGTTTATGCTAAATGCACGGAAAGAAAAACTGTTTGAAAAATTGAGCAAAAAGTTTTGGAAAAATTGTTTTAAAAATTATGTTTTGATTTAATCAACTGTTTGTTGTGATCAAGTTTGTTCGATTATTACACTGAAAGAAATTTTAATATTGGTTTTGTGTGATAATTTATCGAATCGGTTTTTTAGTTTTCTTTGTTTAGTACGCTGTCCAGAATGCCGTTGGTAAGTCACGTAGAGCCGTACGTACCTAGTACGATTCCGTTTGGCCAGTACCTGGATCAGATGGAATGGATTTTCATCGACAACAAGGTAACAGATGCTGATGACAAGAAAGCATCGTTTCTGGCGGCATGCGGTAAAGAAGTTTACAGCGAGTTGAAGCTTCTTTTTCCTGGGAAGGATTTGAAGACGGTGTCATTTAAGGATATCACCGATACCTTGAAGAAGCGGTACGACAAAACTGAAAGCGACATGATCCAACGTTTCAAGTTCTACCAACGAGTGCAAGGTCCGAAAGCGCAGAGGATTTCATTCTTGGTGTGAAGCTGCAAGCGGAGATGTGCGAGTTTGGCGATTTTAAGGACATCGCAATTCGTGACAAGCTTGTGTGTGGCATCAACGACCCGGATGTGCAACAGCGTTTATTTGATGAAGAGAATCTGACGCTTAGTAAGACGGAGAAGATCATCATCAACAGGGAGATAGCTGGAGCAAGGCGTAAGCTAGTGTCCCGTGAATCCGGTCGTGTGAGTGTTTTGAACAGGCTTGGTAAACGCGAAGAGCGAACAGTTTCACGTGGAAGATCCCGAGGTAGGAGTCGCGGACCAAGTAGGCGAAGCAGAAGTCGTAGTCGTTCTGTTTCTTTCGACCGTAGAAATCGTTCTTCGTTTAGATCACGGAAGTTTCACTGCAGCTTCTGTGACAGAGATGGTCACACGCGTCGCTTCTGTTATGTCGGAAGAACAAAGAGAGGAAATCTGTGAAGTTTGTCGATTCTCCTGCAGCAAAGCCGAAGTTGACGGAGTATCAGAAAAGTTTGCGTCGTCGGCTGAACAGATCTATTTCGGATGATGAGGAGATGGAGTGTATGTTGATCTCTTCCATCAAAACCATCAACGAACCGTGTTTCCGCACAGTTGTAGTCGAAGGTGTGCGATTAGAGATGGAAATAGACTGTGGAGCTGCAGTTTCCGTCATCAGTAGTGAGACATACGATGGAGAATTCACCGATATCTCGATGCAGAAGTGTACCAAGAAGTTGGCAGTGACCAGCGGGAGTCGATTAGTGGTCGAAGGACAGATTCCGGTGCAGGTTGAGTTGAACGGACGACGAAAGACTGTTAAGCTGATTGTCTTGAGGAGTGGAAGCTCGTTTACACCGCTACTTGGACGTGATTGGCTTGACATCTTCTATTCTGACTGGAGAAATGCGTTTGGCAGTGGGGCGAGCGTGAAGCAACTGTCGTTTCCGGCTTCAGAGGAACAAATTGTGGACGATGTTAAAGGTAGGTTTGCCAATATTTTTGATAAATCTTTGATCGCCGATCAAAGGTTTTCAGGCAGATTTAGTGTTGAAAATGGGAGCAGTGCCAATGTTCAAGCGTGCATATGACGTTCCATTACGTTTGAAAGATAAAGTTGACGAACATTTGGAAAGTTTGGAAAAAGATAACATAACACCGATCGATGCAAGTGAGTGGGCATCGCCGGTGATTGTTGTAGTGAAGAAAGACGGAGGTATTAGGATGGTGATCGACTGTAAGGTTTCGATCAACCAGGTGATCATTCCGAACACATATCCGCTTCCGTTGGCTCAAGATATTTTTGCTTCACTAGCTGGTGCTAAAGTTTTTTGTTCACCAGATCTGGCAGGAGCGTACACACACAGTTGTTGTTGTCTGAAAAGTCTAAGAAAATTATAGTGATTAATACAGTTAAAGGTTTGTTTTCGTATAATCGTCTACCACAAGGTGCTTCTTCAAGTGCTGCTATTTTTCAGCGAGTCATGGATCAGGTTTTGAAAGGCATTAACGGAATTTATTGCTACCTTGACGATGTTTTGATAGCTGGTGAGGATTATGAGGACTGTTTACGAAAGCTTCATTTGGTTTAGAACGACTTTCTAATGCCAACATAAAAGTTAATTTGCAAAAATGCAAGTGGTTTGTGAAAAGTTTGCCATTTCTGGGCCACGTGTTGACAGAAAAAGGTTTGTTACCGAGCTCAGAAAAGGTCGAGACGATTCGGAGAGCAAAGTTTCCGAATAACGTCACCGAGCTGAAGGCATTTTTGGGTTTGATAAACTGTTATGGCAAGTTTATTCCCAATTTATCCTCACGTTTAAGCTGTTTATATCGTTTACTCAAGAAAGATGTTAAGTTTGGCTGGACTGATGAGTGTACTAATGTATTTAATTACAGTAAGCAGTTGTTGTTGTCTTCAAAACTATTTTTGATCCTAAAAAGCCTGTCGTTGTTGTGACAGATGCTTGTAGCTATGGGTTAGGTGGCGTGATTGCTCACGAAATCAATGGAGAAGAGAGGCCTATTAGTTTTACCTCCTTCAGTTTAACAAATTCCCAAAAATCCTACCCAATTTTACACTTGGAAGCGTTGGCTATTGTGAGTACCATAAAGAAGTTCCACAAGTTTTTGTTTGGAAAGAAGTTTACTGTGTACACGGATCATAAGCCGTTGATAGGCATATTCGGTAAAGAAGGAAAAAATTCGTTGTTCGTGACGCGTTTGCAGAGATATGTAATGGAACTAAACATTTACGACTTTGACATTGTTTACAGACCGTCATCGAAAATGGGTAATGCTGATTTCTGCTCAAGGTTTCCTTTACCTGATGAGGTGCCAGTTTCGTTGCAACAGGATTTTATTAAAAGTTTGAATGTACACAATGAGTCTCCTTTGGACCATGTTTTGATTGCAAATGAAACAAAGCAAGATGAGTTTATTCTGAAAATAGTTTATTACATGAAGCATGGTTGGCCAAAGAAGTTGGAGCGCAATCTTTTAGATGTTTATGCTCAGCATCAAGATCTTGAACTCGTCGATGGTTGTTTATTGTACAAAGATCGTATTTTTATTCCTGCTAGTTTGCAAAAGCAGATGTTGAAGTTGTTGCACAAGAATCACTCCGGAATTACGAAGATCAAGCAGATGGCAAGAAGGACGGTTTACTGGTATGGTATGAACAGTGACATTGAAAGTTTTGTCAAGTCATGTAGTGTGTGTTGCCAGATGAATGCAGTTCCTAAATCAGTTTCAAATTCCAGTTGGATACCTACGACTAAACCATTTACGCGTATTCATGCGGATTTCTTTTACTTCGACAAGAAGGTTTTTCTGGTTATTGTGGACAGTTTCTCGAAATGGCTCGAGGTTGAGTACATGCAGTTTGGAACAGATGCCAGGAGAGTTAAATCGAAGTTCATGAGTGTTTTCGCGAGGTTTGGGTTAGCAGACGTAGTTGTTACGGATGGCGGACCACCGTTTAACTCGAAAGATTTGATCGAATTCTTAGAGAAGCATAGAATTAAGATGATGAAGAGTCCACCTTACAACCCGTCGAGTAACGGTCAAGCGGAGCGCATGGTTCGAGTCGTTAAAGAAGGTTTAAAGAAGTTTTTACTAGATCCGGAATTGGCTGGTTTAAGTACTGAAGACTTAGTTTCGTACTTCTTGTTTGGCTACCGGAACACTTGCTTGGAAGAGGATCATTCGTTTCCTTCCGAGAGATTGTTTAGTTTTAAACCAAAGACGCTGTTGGATTTAACCAATCCTAGAAATAGTTTTAAAAATCATTCGACGAAACCCAAGAAAGTGGATAATCGTGTTGTGTTTAGTCCTAGTCCTAAGAAACATGACTGGATTGACAAGTTACGTCCTGGAGATATAGTTTATTACAAAAATTTTAGACCTACAGATATTAGACGATGGTTAGAAGCCAAGTTTCTTAAACGTATCTCCTCGCATGTTTTTCAGGTTTCCGTTGGAGGGAGAGTTTACTCTGCTCACCGAAATCAGCTAAAGCTGGTGGGTACCCCAAAGCGCCGAGGTTTGTTCTTGGGGAGGAGCGAGAGCAGTCAACGGAGGAAGCGTGCTAGAGAAGACGATGACGATGACGATAGACTTAGCATCAACGAAGAGGGTGATTTTTACGGATTCGCCTCGGATTCTTTCATATATGGTGACAGGGATGGTCGCAATAGGGTTAACGTTCGTGATCTTGAGTCGGTTGACCGTCGAAGTTTGTCATCTGTGGGAGATGATGCGCAAGGCTCATTCAGAATTCCACCCGAGGAGTTCGATCCGCAGGAAGGCCCATCGAACGGAGCTGTGTGTCCATCGTCGCAATCGAAGAATAGTCTGGAGAGTGTTAGACGTTCAAAGCGATCTAAACGTCTGAAGAAAGATGTCGATTTTGTGTATTTATAATCCATTGAGTTTGTGAAAATGTCAAGAAGGCATTCAAAAAAAAGTTAGTTTTTCGGTAGTTGGTTTATGCCGATTTCAGAAAATGTTTACGGTAGTTAGGTTTTGCCGGTTGTTTAAAAATTTCACGGTAGTCGAGTTTTGCCGAATGTTTGATATGTTAAAACTAAAAGGAGGAGAACTGTAGTATCCGCCCCTAGCTACACCACTGGCTGTCTGGAACAGCTGGGCAGAGAGAAGAATAAACATTCAGTTTATATACTGACTGCCCAACAAACAATTTTAGCTGCAGATTAGCTTATACAGCCAAAATTTGCCTTATGCAGCTATTTTTTGCCTGTATAAGCTAAGCTGCAGCTAAAATTGTTTGTTGTGTGCACTACCGGACAGACGTGCGTTTTATTTTATCGTATCACGGTATTCCTTATCGGTCACCTAACATTTAGAACCCGTGTCCCACAAGATATTTCAGTATGTAATAAGTTGAACTTATTGTTATGTTAAATATGTAAATAAATGCTCTCGTCTTCAGCATTCTACAATGGAGTATGGATCGGGATCCAAGCGGAAACACACAACACTATTATTGGCGGACAAATTAAAAATTATTGAAGAGGCAGTGTCGGGAGGAATGTCCCATGAACAGATCGGCATGAAGTATAGAGTTGGAAAGTCATCTGTCAGCAGGTTCATCAAAAATAAAACGGCGATCCAGATTGCAGTGGAGAAATATAGAGAATATGGAGCGGAGAAGCGGAGGACTCTGAAGGAACAGCATTTCCCGTTGATGGAGGAAGCATTGTTTATTTGGATTTTGCAGCAAAGGGAAGTGAATATCATTGTTCCGGCGGATATCATGCGGGCAAAAGCAGATTCTCTGTTCAAAGCATTTCAGGAACATGATTGCTACACGGAAAATACGTTTCTCGCTTCCAACGGCTGGGCTCGTCGATTCAAGGAACGCTTTAGCTTGCCAATGGCTACTGCTGCTGGGGATGCAAAAGATTCTTGAAATGAATATAAGTGCGTCACAATTATTCAATGCGGATGAATCGGCAATTTTTATTAAGCTTATAGCATCTAAAACGGTAGTGTTGTGGGATGAAAAAGCAGCTTCTGGTCGGAAACTCAACCGAACCAGGTATACATTCATGCCCTGTGCTAATCTTGACGGTTCCCTTAAACTCAAGCTGATGTATATCGGAAAATCGGAAAATCCTCGAGATCTCCCACGCGTAGGGTTACCATATGGTATCCTAAAGGAGGACATGTCCTCCTTTTGCCCGAAAATGTCCTCCTTTTTAATCCTTTCATTTTTCCAGTAACATATTCATACAATTGTTTTCAAAGAGCGTTGTTTGAAGCGATTACTTGTTTAATTATGTCACAACCTCATCTTAGGGATGATCCATTAATTATGTCACGCAAATTTGGCCCATTTTCAACCCCCCTTCCGCCCTTTGTCACATTTTTTGTATGAATCTTATTTTTTTTTGTATGGCTCGTCACAGTTTTCAAAACCTTCCCTCCCTCCTAAATGTGTGACATAATTAATGGACGAGCCCTTTAACAATTTCGGTTTTATGAAGGTTCTGTAGACCATGATTAAGACTTGTAGAATGCTAAAAAACCAGCAATGTTACTTGGGAAACGTCATTCGATGGTGGGACTAGGGGTATACTACAGCTGTCAACCCCCCTACATTTAGGCTGTGGTCCATTTGATGAATCTTAACATAAATTTGACAGATGGAAAATTTTCAAATAAACCTGCTATTCTACCAGACATATGTATTTCAGACAAACCAGGAATCAATTTTGACAAACAATTTCTCGAAAATCGGACGATCGAACCTTATAATTTATTTTCGAAGTGTCAGTGAAAATTCATCGAATGATTTAATTTGATTATGTAGTTTTCATCCATATCAGCTAGACTAGATCATTTCCAAGTATCAAAAATAAATTATTAAGGCTAGTTTGATGCATTTTTTAGAAGTATAACAAGAAGATTAACTGAATTGGTAACAACTACAAGTTATGACAATCTCAATTGAACCTTTGCAAATCTTGAATTTTGTGATAGCGCACATTTTATTAAAACGTTTGATAAAAACTCATTGTCCTCCTTTAATGTTAAGAAAAGGAATCATTGTCCTCCCTAATCTCCAAACCTCAAATGAAATGTCCTCCTTTTCAAGTATTTTATATGGCAACCCTACCCACGCGGGGCAAATAAAGAGTTACCAGCTTCGTACTATTCCTCGAAAAAAGCATGTATGACACGCATATTGTTCCGAAAATGGTTTGAGGAAGAATTTGTACCAGCTGTAAGAAAGTTCTGTCAAGAAAAAAGTCTTGAGCCAAAAGCGCTATTGGTTTTGGACAATTGTTCGGCGCACCATGATGGTTGCGACTTAAAGAGTGATGATGGTTTAATTCAGGTGATCTATCTTCCACCCAACGTCACCAGTGAATGCCAACCGATGGATCGGGCGGTAATAAATGCCATCAAGACGCGATATAAGAGGAAGCTCATGTTGAAACCCGGGTATTGCGAACTCTGTCGGTTTAATTTTTCAAGTGAGCAAGAAAACATCTTAAAAATCTTTCGAAGCTTCAATTTGTTTTGCTGAAACAGCTCACGAAATCGTATATACATGCTGTCAAATGAACTCTGGGTCCTCCTTCTCTGCTCCACAAATAACGTATACATGGTGTTGGGAGTGCACCTGCCCACAAAGCTCACATGACTCTTATAAAGTTTGATCAAATTCTTGTTTCAGCAATTCGCAGTTTTGGCATTATTATTAATATCAAATAAAAACACTTATTCGAGCATCACGTTCGATGATTTACATTTTCCGCCTACTAAGGTTGATGTTTCGACAGTTTCATAATTATAATTCTTAATTTGATTTCAGTAGGTGGCAATACCTTTACTTGTGGTTCAAACAGTAACTACCCACATGACTTCTGAGCTCTTTTGAATGTTTGACTCCCGTTTGACAGTTCGACTCGGCTCCCAGATGACATGCATTTTGTGTTAGTTCACAGTACTCAGGTTGAAACTAGTCTTGGAAGATGAACACTTGTCATTCGATCAACGTCTAAAAAACATTTCATTGAAAATGTTTTTGGATTGGCTGGCCAGCTCATGGGAGGAAATAAGTACTTCCACAATAAGAAACTCGTGGAATAAACTTATTGGCGAGACTCCAGGATTAATTCATGATGAATTAAATGTTGTCGAACAGGACTATCCGACACAAGAAGATGCGGATTGTATAAAATCGCTCATAGCAGAAGTTGACAAGATGGTTGGAACGCAGACCAGTGAAAGTGATGTGAAACGATGGTTGAATGACCTAGTTATAGACTCTGAGGGAAATGTGCTGTGTGGAACGAGTCAGGTATACACCGACGTTGAGATTGTAACTGGCGTTCTCCGTGGTTTCGATGAATCAGTCTGCATGCAAGAAGAGTGGCTAAACGACACCGACGAGAGTGCTTCAGGCAACGTATCCGGATCTGAGCTAATGACAGTCGATGAGGAACCGACAACAAAGCAGGATTTCGCTAATGTACTGCAATCACTTGATAAGGTCATTCAGTACGTAGAAAACGATGTTTCGGAGGTTACGCGACTCAAATCCTTGAGAACTAAGCTGATTGAAGCTGAGTGGCAAAAGCAAAACCTGTAATGTGTGCAATTTTTATTATTTTTGTATGAATTTCAAATAAACATTAATTAAACACAATACGCAATGTAAAATGCATTTGCTCACCCCTAGAAAGAATTGACGTCTGGTTGTCAACTTCAATTTGACAAGAGATTTTGACATCCAGTTGCTTTTTAATTGGGTCACCGCCCAAGTATTAAAAGCCCAACCAGCGAATTCCGACTGTAATCAGTTAATAAGCCTAACTTAAAGCTAAATTTGTATAATCCTAAAGTCTAGAGTAGTGCTTACAGTACTACAAGTAATTAAATCTAGACAAAGGAGAACGAGGTAGAAGAGGCAAATAAAGTCCGGTTAATGCTAATGATTACAGTATACCCAGATCATTAGCTCCAGGACATATGAATGCTATAATTGTTGTGAGAGAGTAGTACGAGACTAGAAACACTAAAATTTCGCTGACTCTGCAACAATGACTGTTGAAGAGATCGAGTAAATCGTCGGGGTCGTCAATGGAGTACATATTGTCCCATGCAACGGACTGTATAGCGTTTTTCAAAGCCGGAGCGTCGAAATGGACATAGCCACGATACGTTTGAATTATTGGTGCAGGTGAACCATCAAAGAACCGAAAATCAGATCATTTTGCGAAAATGCAGGGAAACTAACCTGATTAAAGCGCAGAATCTTCAAATCACAACTAGTGATGCTGTGGGATGCTGGGATGTATGGTGAAAGAAGGTTGACTCGTCAACAACATACGTCAACGCCAAACTACTGTTTCGAAGTGTGCTCGCTTACTGTTTCGGGTGTTCAAGTCTGTGTTGAAATCTCCAATAAGCAAAACGGTTTCGTAACGTGCGGCAAAGTCAGCTAATTTATCGGCAAGAAAACCTGAACAGTCGTTTCCTGGGGGATTGTAAACGGCTACAATCAGCAGTTTCACCGAACCAAGTCGCAACTCCAACGCTAGGCACTCTGTTTTGTCTTCTGAATCTAGTTGTAGTACTGTCCCAAACATGTTCTTACACCGTAAGTGATCTTTGTAATAGATCACAATTCCACCTCCACGCCTGTACAGTCGGTCGTTGCGTAAGATTGTGTATCCAGGAATGGCAATGCTGCGGTTACTAACTTTTGGCTGACTTTGGAGTCTTGAAGCAGGTTTCTTACTTCGTCCAGTTTGGTTGACCTCCTAGTACAGATACTTTGGGCATTTCCGTGACACACATTTAGTTTTCCGGGCAGAAGCACTGCATTCATCACTGCACGGGGAATGTTCGTCAGGGTGTGGCTATTCAACGAGGGCATAGAGAGCACGGATGGAAGCAATTCTTAGGGGGCTGCAAGAAAACACGAATACAATTTTTCAACATAGTACAATCTTCACAAAACTCAGATAGTGGAATACAGATAATATACATAATTACGCAAATTGATTGAGTTGCTCCTCAGACTGAATGACGATGGCTTGTGCAGTGGCAGTAGGCTTCACGAGGACAGCTCCTAGCTTGGTGTATAGGTAAGCTTGCCAGCTTTCTTCAGACGTACAGCTGATGCATTCAACTTACGTGCTCACATTGTCGACTCGATTCCAAGATGACTCAGCTGAAGATCATGTTTCCGGAGGTAGGCACTGTAGAAGTCATCGCGATGATTCCTCAGTGCAAACTGCACCAACACCAAACTATTGTCACCATCGTTCATCGCTCCGGTTTTGAGACGCCTGATGTCGACCGAAGGCCGCGTTCGCTCGTGCATTCCAAGCTGCTTACACATAGCATTAAAATGCGCTAGGAGGTCCTCACCGTTGAGATTGATACCGCTGATGATGAGCTCGTTCCTATTCCCCAGGCTGTCCATGGTTGAGGAAATTTCGTCAACCCTTCCAGGTCAACGCGTTCAACGCAACGTCGTAGCTTTGGAAGCTTAGCAGCACACTCAGCTTTGAGAGCGTGGATGTCGTTCGAGACGGCATTCAATTTACCCTCGAGCTCAGATTGTACAGCATCGATATCGTTGCGCATTTCATCAATCAACGTCTTTGTCTCGGTGAACTGTTTCATCAGCATTCTTACTGCGGTGTCCAGTGTTATCGGATCTCCATTAGCATTAGCATCAGCATCAGCATCAGCATCTCGGACGCTTTGTAACGTTGTTTGCTTTGATACTGGCAGGTGGAGTGCGCTTGGCCGACATTGTGTATGTGCGTGACGGAGAGAGTAAGCAGCAGATATCTTAACGTCGGTTTACAATGGCGGATGATGTGTACAGTACCAAGGTTGTCGTCAGAAAATTTACTTCGACTAATCTGAACCAGCGAGAGCAGAAGTTTTCATTCCATCGACAACCCATCGAACGTTCTCAAGCACAACGAAAACTACTTATTTGGACAGTGATCTCCGACAGAACAGAACCGGGAAAGCACTGATAAAGAAAATGATAGAGCATGAAACTTTCCGAACAGCTCCCCTGTTATCTGGAATGCTTCATATTATCAAGCAATCATGCTCTTTTCAAACTAGTTTGAGGTTTACCTTTCCTTTCCTTTTTCCTGTTTTTTAACCAACAAAATCAAACTGAAGCCAACATCAATGTATAAACCAGCAAAAACTCTTCTCCCCATGCAGCATTCCGCAAAACTTTGTTTTCCGTTATTCCCCAGTGAGTGGACCAAACTGTGAAACATAAATCCCGCTGCTGCTGCTGCTACTCCGGTTGGCTGAAGTTCCACCTTCATTGTGGTACAACTCTATAAAAGTGCAACCGAATGCAAGAGCGAACAGCACACTTCAGTGCAAAACTTGGAATATGTACCTGCCTGGGATGGTCGGAAAGCTTTCAACCCGAACAGGTGGAAACGGACGGCAAGCCAGCATAGCAAATTGCAACCCCCCCCCCCCCCCCCCTTTCACAGCTCGTGAATCGAACGCGAAACGAGGAAAAATAACCGAATCATGGAATGTAAATTTTGTTGACTTAGGGCACACGCCGGGTGGGTGGGTGGTTGCATGCATTGTATATGTATGTGTGTTTGTTTGGTTAAGGATGGATGCAAATGTCTTTCCGGGAACAAGTGGTCCTTTGCTGTTTTTTTGCGCTTTACGGGATATAAATGGAGGCGAAATGCGGAAAGCGAATATCGTACACATCGTGAGGATGCACTTCCACACGTTACGAATATGACCTTAATCGATAAAATAAAAGAAGGGCAATCGAGGGGAATGAGCTGGTGCCGGAGGGAGGTTGGTCTTAAATTGGACGGATGCTAGTTGCAAAAGGTTTGCTTGTTCTTTGTTTGCAGTGCTCGGCAGGTTGAAAAATTATTGATATACTTAACAGTGGCAGCAGGATTTATGGAACTGAAATAGAAAAGTTTACCTCGAAAAATGTGGACGAGGTAATTTTGGAAGAGTTTTACAGATTGAAAAAGTTCGTTATCAATCTCCCATCAGAGTTGGGCAGTCGAAAGATTATCGATCAATCATAACCACCGGTTGCCCGTAAGGAAACACCCTCTTGACAAAGCTGTCCAGCTACCAGTACCTAAACTTATCAACTGTCAGATTAATAAATTGTTTCACATTAGTTCATCCCATCTCCTACAGAAGCTTAAACCGTTGTTCTTCACCGGATGCATCCTCACTTTACTACTATCCACTCTTCCTCACAGTAGTTCTCAACGTATTCTGATATTCAGCATTATCGAGTGTACGTCCCAAGCAACGATAAAGTTTTATATAGATTTTAAAGCAAACTTCAACTCTAAATCATGGTTTTCAAGAGTAAAAAAAAAATGTTACTTGGGGTGTTACGAGGATGATGAATTTGACATTCGTAAAAGGTAAAAATTCGTTTGGTTTCCACACATTGGGAAGCCCTGTACCATTGTACACGGCTTCTGGGCTCTCCCATGGCGTAAACAAAGGTTCCTAAGCTGACTTGCACATTATCCATCCTTCCGAGATCCCGATGAATATGAAGAGACGAACAGCTGAGCTCCGGGCAAAAGAACCATATTCAGCTTTTTCTCCGAGATGCTATTTAAGATGATTACAGTTTCATGTTTTTCTTTTTATGGATGGCACATCCCTTCACCTTATGATCCCATAGCTGTATTCTTGTACGTTTCTATATTGACAAACAACCCTGGCTGTGGGAGTATGAAGACATAACAGCGGCACAGCATCGTAGCTGACAGCTTCTGTCGGAAAACTTTCCCTAGCCCGGCTACACATGGCCAATGAGTACGACCCAAATTTGAGTTTAGTTTACTCATAATCGCCAAAAGTGTAAGAACTCAGCGATGAGTTTTCTGTGGAAAACCTAAAAAATCTGCAGGAAAATGAGGATAATTTACGGAAATTTTACTCATTGTAGGAGTAGTACCAATGAGCTGAGTGGATCCAATCTTTACAAACCTGGAAAAACCAGGAAAATCATGAGTCAATTTACTCATCGATCTCCGATTGTGAGTAAACTAAACTCAAATTTTGGTTGTTCTCATTGGCCGTGCAGAGAGCTGGACGAGTGTGGTTTTAAAAAGTCTACGTGCTCACCGGGTACACAATTAGAGCACATAATCGAGGCTAATGTGGGCAAATGAATCCGACAAAAGTAATTTCTCAACTTGTTGGCTTGGTTTCCTTGTTTAGGTAGGGAGCTACCATCAACAAACACTGATGTGCAGAAGAGAACACGTGGCAAAGAGGGCTCGTTGTGAATGTCTTTCGGAATGAGAAGTGATGTTGCCAAAGTAGCATTAAGATTTATCTCCTGTGAGCGACCAGGTGTACCATCACCACCGGTGTGATGTTTTTGTTGTTGATGTCGTCGTCGCCTTCTTCGTTTTTGCCTAGGCCAAGACGAGACTAAAGACCAAAGAGGCTGAATTGGATAAAGAGGCGACACGTTTAGATTGGAAGCACCGATCTACTTTACCCAATTCAACCTCCTATTCGGAGACGAGCCAGCCAACGGCTGAAAGTCTCCTTAATAAAGATATAAAAAAAAAAAAAAAA